TTGTAATTTTTATTTTTCTTATAAATGGACGTAATTCATTAACGTATTGTTTTGTTTTTGTTAATCATTAGTGCCACTTGCAGTGCGTTTTTTACTCTTCACTTTCATCAATATTCAATAATAATAATTTACAAATAACATTTTTTTCTTTAACTGTGAACTGTAAAAGGTTTAAACTCGGCTGTATTGTAAATTTCGGCTTAACATTTGTGAATATTTAAGTTTTCACTTTTTATACTTCATTGCATTGAATTATTATTTGCTGCTTATAAATGCAATGCAAGTCTGTTTGTTTGTATGGATGCATGTAAGTAACTAACTATGTATGCGTTTATGCCATTGAACTTGTAAACGTCTTGAGTTATACAATCTATTTAGTAGTTTGCCTATATTGCCTTGCATTTAAATTTATTGAAGAACAGTAAAACATGTTATTCCTTATAAATTTGTATCTTGTATGTATGTATGTAAGAGCTTTTAATTTTCTTTAATACATATTTGTTGTAGAAAAATAAATAAAAACATTTTTAAATGCATACTTTTACATATAAAAATGTCGAGTCAAAATTGAATTAAAGTTACGTATTTGTAATGTCGAAATTATACGGTTCGCACATAATACTACTTTTTAAAGTAAAAAAGGTACACATATACAATACATATAAGGAATGGAGTCGTTTTCTAAAAAAATTTTGGAGAAAGTGTAAATGCCTTGAAGAAAGGAAATATGGGTATTAGGAGAAAGGACTCGATTATGGGCTTTATAACGTAACTGTTAGTAGCTTTTTCCTAGCAAAGACTGTCAACTCGACAGCATATTTCAAAAGCATTTGGGGAATGTTTGAAGTTAAAAAAAAAAAAAAAAACAATTCTCTGGTTTAAGTTTAAAGTTAGTATCTTGTGTGTAAAAAATTTGCAAGTTTTTTTTTATTTAAACTAGTTAATAACAATTGTAAATATGAAGTGAAACTGATTTGTTATAAATAGTAAATTGAGTYGCTCTCCTGTCTGCGATTTTTAAAATTGAGATTTTGATTTTCCCATTAATAGTAAGTATTTAAAAGAATAGTGTTTGTAAAACAGTAATGAGCATAAAAATTTCATAAAAATGAGATTACGATTTGGTTTCAAAAGTAAGGCTATGTAATATTCTAACAGCCGAATTGCAGACTAATTTAATTAAATCTGCCAATTATTTTATTGCAAAGAAGTTTATTCAAGATTCCTTAAGAGCTATCTTCTCTCACATTTACGTTTTTTACGTGAAAACATGAAGATAGAATTACATTTAACACCAACTAGTGTTCTTTTACTACTGGCTTGCCAAAAAATGCAGAGTTTGTTTCCAAAATTGGTCAACACCCATCTGCGGTTGTTATGAATAATATAGGTTAGAAGCTTTGTAGGGGGAAAACAACAAAAAATGTTGAACAGGAACAGGCTTATAGATTTAATCCGCGGCTTTTTAGTTTCTTCTGCAAAACTCGAATTATAAAATGTACATATTGTAATCATAAATAAAAATTTTATATTTATGAAAATCAATATACAAAATGTAGTTCTTTAAGTGAAATACAAAAAAATGTTAATACTAAACAAAGCACTTGTATAACAAGAACCAAATAAGGAGAGAAGAAAAACAATAAGGTACAATGAATTCAATGTACTTACAATTTGAAAATATTTTGTGTAGAGTAATACTTAATTCTTATGATGACCATTCCTACTTTCACGGTATTTGCGTAGAAAAAAAAGCACTTTCGATTGTTAATTCCATTTGGTTGAATTTATAAATTGCTAAATTGCTCCTGGACACACTCTTCCTCGACAATTGTGCCGTTTGGTGAACGCATATGGTAAATACCGCCTAATTTTTGCGTCACTTGATGATGATGCTTCTGTTGTTGTTGCTGCTGCTATCCAATTTGCAGTGCTGCACCGACGCCTGAGCGTCGTAAGGGCGACATAGACACCAGCGGCACATCAGTGTGTGCGCTTGTTGGCTGTTGACGCGTTGGTGTTGGCGTTGGTGTAAGTGTTGGTGTTGTTGGCGGCGGCGGTGGTGGTGTTGCAGAAGGCGATACTGTAAAGTGTTTAGTTGGCGTTGCCGATGCCGAGACCGATGCTGACGATGTGGAAGTAGAGGTTGTCATTACGGCACCGGATACTCCGCCGCTGGCCACTATTATGGATGTGCACGACGTGGACGTAGCCGCTGTCCCTGCCGCTAAGTTTGCCTGTCGTCAGGTGTTGCTCAGAAGCAATATTTCACGTTGTGGCGTATTTTGCAAGGCATTAGCCGTCTTTAAGTGAATGCTATGCGCAGTGTGCGTGAAAAGGGGAGGGAGATTAAAATTACTTGGAGGGAATATTTTTATTATTTCACAATATATTTCAAAATGTTGTTTAATATGTTTCAATGCTATAAAACATTCAGCATATTATAGGTATCAGAGTTGTTTACGGAGTCTTGAAATCTCTGAATGATTATCGAGTTAGATAGGTATAGGTAACAAGAACGAAGATGAATTTATATTTGAATAGCTTTGCTTGTACAACAGAAACATAATAAATCGTATGGATGTATTAACCCTTTTAGAACCAATAGAGAAGGCTGAGATGGGGATTTTATCCGGCCAAGGCCTGTTATTTCGGAGATTTCACCCTCGCTTAGATCGGTATGTCTTAAGCTGTATTTAGACGTTCATTAAAAGTAATCAACATAAGGCTACTAAAAAATTTCTATCTGTCCCAATTATTGTCCATCTCGTCTACGAGAATTCCTTTTTATATATCAATATGACTAGATATTTCTCTCGGCTAGGTCTTAATACGCCAAAAAAAAATCTTGAAAAAGCCGGTAGTTATAAAGAAAAACAAATATAACAACAATTTAATGTCGAGTAAAATTTAAAAATCACTAAGTAATCGGAACGGAACCATATTTATACCCGACCAAGGACTATCAACTCGAAATTACTTCAGGAATACAAGATACAAGTATACCATCAAAGGACGTTTTTGAAAGCAACTGGCAACAATATAACTACAAAGGTCCAGAAAYATTATAAGCAGTACACTCATTTAAAAAATAGTTAAATATATACACACTAAAAATAATCAAATATAAATTAATTACTCACTTATTGTCTTCCAGCGAGAATGTCTCCGACGAACCGTGCGAGGCCACCGAAGTACCTGCAAGCGAACTTCGTATTGAGTGCGAGTCCTCGGGTACGTTTAGCGTTACTAGCATTTTTATTATTTATTATATGTACGTATTTTTCAGTTTGTTTTAAGTTTAGTAGTTTATTTTAAGGTAATTGTCGGTGATGGAWATTTTGTTGTTCATTATTTATTATTATTGTGGGTAGAGAAAATTTTTAATTGTGGAAAAAGATGTTGTTCCATTAATTTTTTGGGAATTGTAAAATTTTTAGTCGTTTCGTTTTTGTTGTACGTGAAAGTGGTTGTTGTTGTCCAATTGTTTTGCGTAACAGTAAACGAATTAAACATGAAAATTTCAAATTTTAATTTTTCATTTTTGTTGCGCATTTATTTTAACAAACCATAGTTTTTGTTTATCCAATACACGTAATTTAATTAATTTTTTTTTAATTTTCGTTTAGGGCCACATTTTGTGTCAACCAAGCCAATATTGTTGTGAAATTATTTACAAAAGCAAAAAATACCAATTTTTTATTAATATTTTGTATGTAAAATATTTCTGTTTGTAAAAATTTATTTTAATAAAGGTGGAGAGAACTACTTTTTTGCAATAAATGAAGAAGAGAGCAAGTAAATAAATGTTTTTTTTCTAATACATAGGAAAGTTGTGGTTGCAAGTGTGTGTGTGTGGCGTGGCGCATAGCTGAATAAAGACTAAAATAGAATTTAGGTATGATATGCGTCGTAAAGTTAGTAGTGGAGGGGTGTTAAGTATGCAAGTTGTTCATTCTATTTACTGTTATGCAGAGTTGACAAGTTAATTGACAAAACTGAATATCTAATCATAAAATTAAGTTTTSAGAAATCGGAGAAATGCTTGTTCGTATACGAAATATTCAATTATTTACGATTTGATGAACTATAAGATTCTTATGTAATATTCTTTATGAAATGCATTTTCGAGCACATGCTAAATATTAAAAAAAAWTATACACATACTAATTATTATTATTGTTACATAACTTTTTTCGGTTAAACAAACAGTTATAAAAGTGCAATTAATAATTTCGTGCATAAAACGCGCATGCTTAAGATTTAATAAAAAAATATTTTTTTGAAAGATTTGTTAGTTATAGGTATGCCATATACAAATAATTATAAAATATTAAATAAATACCAATGAAAGAATATATCTTTGGCAAAGAGATATATAAAATATGTATATTTATCATTCAAGGAAATATAGATAAAGAATTTTTACAAAAATATGTATGTATAAAATGTATGGCTTATACATAGCATATAATTTTGAGGTGATAACCGCCTGCTAACATTTTAAGGTGTGTCTAGACTTTAATACATATGTATTTTCAAAAACCTTCTAAAATAGATATTTTTAAAACTTTTTAGAAAAAARAATCTTTTAAAAAGTATATGCGGTTCCCTCACGAAGTGTACTTACATTTTCGTTACAAAAATGATTACATTTTTTGCACAAAAGACTACCACCTAAACAACCGTTAGCAAATAGTCGCTAATGTGAAGTCAGTAGAAGAGCTGCTGCTAACCAATTTTTGATTTCCATCAATAGAAAAATGGTTTTCTTTAGCATAATAATCTTACAGCTTTTACATTTTTAATGTAACTCATAAAAATTTACTTAATCTTGTAGCAAAATAGATCAAGCATTTTTTATATTATCTCTACAAAAATCAAAATGTTCTCTTTTGCCTCAGCCGAGCTGTATTTAATAGATACGTACATACATATGTGAATAAAAATCATAGCTTTAAAAATTAAATAATTTTTATTTATAATTTAATTATTTATATTTATTTAAATTTCAGTACATTTTTTAATGCTATAAACACACTACTACAGTGCAAAGTATGAAATGCGTAGACTTTCGATATTTCCATGAAAATTCGTTAACTTTTAAAGCACTTTTTGCAAGCTACTGACGCCAGGCGTACAAAAAGCACTAACTAATTAAATGACATTATAAATACAAAAAATTATATATTTTTCACATATTATATAGTAGGTATTTATAAGTATTGTATATAAATGAAGTACATAGTTGTAAATAAATATCTGGTACAGGTATCGCATTGCAAGCATAATATATAAATAAATAAGTATTGGTAAATAGTATAAAATAGTTAAATAGGAATAAAATAGGAATTACAAGTTTATGTTATAAGCACAATGAATATACATACATGTACATACACATATACATATGTATAATATACATAATGATTGAAATTTTAGACTTCGAAGCTGAATAGTTGCAAAATAAAAATCGTGCTGGTAACTAACAATTTGAAATATTAAAAATTTGGCTTCAACGTCTAAAATATTAGCTTTGCGTGCAAACAATACGGTATTCTGGAACAAGAATATGAATTTAGTGACTTGTGGAGAAAAATTATTTAACTTATTCAAAAATGAACATATTTTATTAAAAATATTATGAACAATTATTTATTTTTAAGAAAAACAAGTCATTAAASAAATAAAGGTTTACAAATATTTATATATGTTTTTTTAATAAATTTATTTTTATAATTTTTCTTAAATTACTAATATGTATATTTAATCTGCCCAACATAAAAAAAATTACAGTTGTTTGTGTGTAATTACAATTTAATTAAAACAAACTGACTGCATGTGACAATAAAGTTAAAAGGTGTTATATGCAACTAAGGTATAATAAAAAATGAATTCATGTAAAATATCCGAAATTTAAACAGTATTAAGCGGAATCTGAAATGAGTTCTAGTTATGTGCTCATAAAAACACAAATGCAAAACAGTAGTTCCCAATAGCTAATATTAAAAAAGTATGTAACCTTCAAAAAAACATATTTTGCGTCGTCAAACTTCATATGTATATTATAAATAAATAATCCCACGTAGTTTCATTGCAATTATATATGCGAAATTATGTATAAACTTTTAAGAAAATTAGTGTTAATTCATTTAAGCGCACAAAATGAGTGTGGAATTATTATTATTGAATGCTTGAATACATACAGCTAATAATTCTGCAAAATATTCAGTACCATTTTTACTTAATAACTTCTGTGAAAATGTATATAATAACTGCATTAAGTAAGGGCACAATAGACCTAAGGTCGCAGTGCATTCCTCAGTTATTTATCTAAGGGAATGTTTACAATAGGCAATGTTTGCAGTAAAATAAGTATGACAAATGGTRTAAAGCATAGTATTATTAAAGAGAGATTCTAAAGTTTACAAATACATATTGAGTAATTATAAAATTCAACTAATTACTTATGCTTTTTTTGCAATGGCAATTTTTTTTATAAAGTGTACACATTTAGCAGTATGTGTACTCAACAAAAAGGCAAACTACAATATGGAAAACAAAATTTTTAACGCTATACTATACAATGCTAGGAGTTATATAGTATAATGAATTTCGCTTAATAATTATATGTTATAGACTGAATATAGCGAATACGATGCTTAGCAATGTCACTATATATTAGTAATAACAGCTAATGGAATATTTAACAGCATAAGTTAATTATATTTTTAACAACTGTAATTAGGATTTTATATATTATATGTTGTAAAGGAGATTTGTAATTATTGGCAATAGGAGAATTCAATTAAACATAAAAATATACATATGTGTAACCCTCATAATTTTAATATAAAAAATTTTATAGTACAAATTTATCACTTTCTGATTCGATTTCGCCGCATAAATTTCCATATTATGGAAAAAAATGTTTATATACTTAATATTTTAGGCTGTTATTTGTTAGTATTTAAGGTAATAAATTCAATGTATAGGGAAAAATATTAAATGTAATATAAAAAAAAAAGTTATCAAATATTTTGTGAGCTCGATGACTGCAGTTTTACGCATTTGCTATATTCAGCCTATAAATATGCAAGCTTTTTCTAATATATTAAAAAAAAATATGCTACAATTTTTTATATATGATTTATAAACGCAATAGCATGACATTACTATTGCATATTTTAAGCTTAAGGCTAGCTAAATTGGCATATTGTAATAACTACATACATATATTTATTTTAATTATTAAATTTATTAATAAGCTTATAAATACATATTTAGTGCGCTAGTAAAGTACTTTTTTTTTTTTTTGAATATTTTCTAGTATATAAATTTATAGCCGAGTATTTTGTACGCTAAGTTCATCGTCATCTATGTCAGCATTTTCATTAAAGTCTGGTGGTAAATCAACAACATTCGAATAGTCAACGTCAACGTCTGTATGATTTTGTAACSGTAACATTGTATGGCTGTAACTATAACTATTACTGTGCCTATGTAAATAACTCTGGCTGTGGTTGTGATTGTGACCGTTATTGTAAGCATTGTTGTCAATGTCATTGTATAATTTATTGTTGGTGGTGACAACAAATCCATTACTATATAGTGAATAACTGCTAACAGCCGGTGAGGTGGCTAAACTAGTGATACTTCGATACGTTTTCATTGAATATGCATCACCTAGAAGAAGAATTGGGACGAAGATGGTGGAAACAATTTTGTTTGTGTTTGAGTGTCGGTATGTTCATGGGTGAAGAAATAGAGAAAGAGAGAAAGTAAAGTAATCATCACAATAATAATCATTCAACGGAAGTAATCATAATAAAAAGAATAATAATTTTATTAAATAATATCTATATTTGTATGTATGTATGTAGGAAAAAAATGATAAAACCATTTAAATGTTGAAATTCTTACAACTTATGTTGTAAATAGGTTACAAAAGACAGACAGAGAACTAGTGAAGGAGAGAAAAGAAACCACTCACAAAAATATTATATATATTTAATGCGAAAATGCTAAATTACAAGAATACACATATGAGATATGAGTATATATTTATGAAATTAACTTCAAGTGAAGCTGTAGAAATTGAGAAACTGGATTAAATATTGTATGTATGTGAGTAATAAGATGTAGCAATGGATCCATTTTCGAGTAAGTAGCACCAGTATTCCACCATTAATATTTATTGTTTGGCAGTATGTATGTATTTAATAAATTAACTATACATGTAATGGTTACTGTTATATGCACATAYAGTCAGAAGCTTAAAGTCGTATTTTATTTTATTACAGTTCGTATTTACGARATATAAGAGTTTTATGCTTTCCAAATTGGAATTTTGGAACTCATTTAACCCCTTATTCAAATGTAATATTATGTACTGTATTATCAAAACAATGGATCGTTGAAAATCATTTATTTTCTTTGAACTAATTACAAAATAAAACACGACTTAATTTGTTATAAATGCCACATTTATCCGAGTTATAAAATACCCTCATATTGTTATTAGATTATTAGTAAAAGTTGAATAAAATTACAATAGCGAAGGCAAAATTTATATTAGATGAAAAATAAATAATATATAGTTATACAAAATGTTCCATATAATAGATATATAAATATGCTTTCAGAAAAAATAGAATAAAGTTATTCTTATTAAAGTATTCATTATTAATTACTTAAAGATCTTTTACAATTTTTTATGTTTATTAGGAACTACATACCCGTCACCTAAAATGCAAAATAACGTATCATCAAAAAATTCGAAATTGAGTGTCTTATTGAATACGCATCATTACTTCAAATKACATACATAATATTACATATGTTCAACATTTTCAGGTTTTGCGCTCAGATATGAATCAGTTATAACCAATATAAAATTTTTTTTGCACTCATGTTCCCTTTTTTCCTGTTTTATTCATGCCACTGTAAATTTCCGCAAATGTGGTTACGTTATTTTGCATTTCAGGTGACGAMATATAGTACTTGTAGCTTGTATCTAAATTATTACAGATATAGTAAATGTAGTTTTTTAAATGACAGTAGTAGGCAATTCAGAAATATAAAGACAAACGAAGCTTTCCACACAATTTTCAGAGATATAAAAAGAAAAAAATGCYAACCTCTAAAGCCAAAATGTTTTGAAGTCAAATATAGAAACATTGTCAGTTCACGTTGTTGTTGTAAGGATATAAGGTATTCTAAACAAAAAATTTGCAGTAAAGACATTCTCTGGCTCCTCTATCGGGAACAGTTGATAAAAAAAAACCCAAACATTAAAAGAAAAAAGTGATTTTTCCCTGTAAATACTATTTATCTATTGTCAAGAAAAGCATTATTTAGTAAAAAAAAAAAGTCGATTAGTCAGTTGAAAATTAAAATTATAATCAAAGGACTTATTCCTACTGGAAACTTTTAATATGGCACTAAGAAATATAAGTAATACCTACATTATRAATGAAATCGTTTAAATATAGAATAACAAATCACTCTAATACAAGGATAACTTCTCCTTCGTTGGCGTAGACACTGCTTACGTTACAGCCTATGCGTTAATACTTCAATAACTTTTTATAGCCTCTGACGCCACGTCCACGGTATTGATATTTAATCATTTCAATTATATGATRAAGTGATAAATATTTACTTATGGCAAAGTTTTAATTTGATTTTTATTTAGTGTTGATAACGATTGTTAGGTGAAATTGTAGCAAAAAATAAACAAAGAATCTAGAAAAAGAGTAAGTCTGTCAAATAGTTGGGAAGTAAACCGATTTGGTTTAACAAGAAAAATTCAATAAAAATACATTTACAAAGTGCAAAAAAAATAAGAAACAGAGTAGTTAATAAAAACCCGATTGTTATAAAATTAATATTAAAATAATTGTTATTAAGTAAAAATAGATATGCACTGAAAAACTTGCAAACGCTGAAGCGTTTTTTCATGCCGGGCCATGCTGATTAAGTAATCTATGGGTAATTGTTATTATTATTCCAATGGAAGTGTTAAATATTAAAATAAATGTCATTAAATGTGTCATAAAAATGAAGACAATTTCATAATATATAAGCAAGCAAAGCGGATTAAGTAATAAGTTATGTACAAAAATATTAAATATGTTGCAGTATTATTAATAGTATTTACATCGCAACCTAGTATGTACAAATACAAACTTTTGCAATTATATATGTATTTCATATGGTATTGATTGTTACTAATTAGCTATTAACCTGCTAAGCCTCTACGTTTCTACAAAATTCACGCTCTACCACAAGCTAGCCTGCTTTAGAGTTGTCTTTTTACGCCATTATAAAAATAAACTCAAAAATACTGAACAGGGCGTATCMAATAAGAAAAGAAACGATCTCTTAATTACCTTCCGCAATCTGCTCTAGTTCATTTCACACACTCTTTCTTACATAAGTATGTATAGGTAGATATTGAAGAWACTCTGCATACACTAACAAAAACATGAAGCGCGATTATTAAGAGCTTGCTTGCYAAATAGCTTAAGTCTACGTATATAATGTTTAATTTTTTACTTTGAAATAATTCTTGTCGTTTGTTTAATTTACGCCTCTGATATTGGCATTAGAGATATGAACGACAAATATGCTCAAGTTATTTCGGTGTCTTTAAAAAAATATAAATATTTATTTGTGACACCTATTTATATAAACAAACGGAGAGTAGGCATTAAAGAAAGGCAAAGAACGCTCGCTTTGAAAGCAAAATGATTGCACAAAAGGTAAATGAGTATAGTATTACAAAAAAAAAAAAATAAATTAAAGAAAAATAAATTATAAGGGATAATACAAAAAAAAAATTATTCAAAATTTAGTCATATTATTTATTCTACTAATAAAATTACGTTGAAAAGGTCATAATTAAAATAAAAGCAAATTAACATATTAACATATCAGCCGTGCTGTCTGGGGGAATTCTCTTTTAACGCGTTACACTTTTTATAATTATATGGCATGTACAACTCATTTATTCAATTTACATTAATATCTATATATTTACATAATTTTAGTATCTACAAACTACTAAAAATAGTACTAAATATCTCACTATTAAAATATTAAAATGCAATTTACATTAACGAGCAAGATATTGTTAATACAAAAGTACTTTGTAAGTAAGCTCGCACCACACAGTGAACTGTTTGGGATGAATTGTAAGGTGAAGTACATATTTTTATTACATACATATTTTATAAGCGATTAATTGAATGAAGTTTTAAAATATAAATTTGAACTTAGAAATTATGTGCATCCATTATATTCACAAGTACAATTTTTTAAAATTTAATTTAATTTAATTTTAAAATTCAATTACAGAGCWAACTTTGTCCAACATAATTTAAAACTTCATTTTCATATTGTATATCAAAGCATTTTTACCGTACGTATGTAGTATGGAATATTAAAAGCATTTTTTATGATATTATAGTGTGAGAGTATAGTAAAGGAGTGATTAGATGTGGTATTTAGTACAGATAATATAGATTGCAGAATAAAGAGAGAAAGAAACGAAAATCATCTGATATGTATGATCTGAAACTTACCGGTAGCGCATTCAGAGGTCTCATACGACATAGTTGATTGTACTTCTACTGCATTTTGTTCAGACCTGAAAACGGTAGAATCAAAATTATTAATTGTTAACAACAGGAAAAAAACCCAAGAAAAAATGTTAATTTGATTGTACCGAAGTTAAAATACCATTTGCATTTCTTATGTCAAAAAATAATACATAAATAATAAAGACCTTTATCATGAATTTAATCTGTCAGTTTGTAAGCTGTACGCTATAATGATTGGCTCTAAAAAAGCATGCTAAATTTCGGCAAGATATCTTGTCAAATAAGGAAATGTCCATCCAAGTGGTTGATTTTGGTTCTTCAATTTGTGTGGCAGCCGTACTGGTCCGATATCAGCGATTTCGACAAATAAGCAAGTTCTTGGGAACAAAAGGATGTGTGCATAATTTCAATATCTCAAAAACTGAGGGACTAGTTCACGTGTAAAGAGACAGAAGGACAAACCGACAAACATGGCTAAATCGACTCATATCGTCACGATGATTATTTAAATATAAGCATATTTTATAGGGTCTTTGATGTTGCCTTTTGATTGTGTCAAACGTTGTGGCAAAAATTACTATGTCATACCCTATTCAAGGTATAATTATAAATATGTAAAATTTAAGTAATAAACAATTTTTGAAGGCAGACAATATAAAACATGTAGCAAATAATATTAAAATATTTGAAGCAAAAGATAGGGAAGATAAGAATACATTTAATTGGATAGTTTTCATTACTAAAGATTAATATTATTTCAACTTCTGAGCCGCAATAATGAAGTCTTATTTTGCAMGTTTATTGCGCTAAATATAGTAAGTTTCATATTTTAGTTGTTTTTTTTTTTAATTGATGTGCAAGAATAAAGGCGAGTTATAGGATATATGAAATAAAAATATTGTTAATATCTGAGAAGGTTTAGTTTCTACTATCAACCTATGTTATTGAAAATAAAAAAAGATGGGCTTCTAAGTTTTGGACGCTACTTTTCAGTACAAWTTAGAAGAAAAAACAGCTAAATCGCTTAAAGCACTACTAAAAAGTATAAATGTGYGTGTTTTTTTYAACAAAATACATATACATATAATATTTGGAATTATCCATAACTTTTTTGTTATACTTCTTTGTATATAGCCGATTGGCGTGGGTAATAATAAATAAAAAAATATTGTTAAAATAAAATACTGATCACCTGGGGCGACCTTACCTCAATATCACATCAGTTATAACTTGTTTTTCCGTATCGGTATACTCGGAACGTCGTCGCCCGATTTTTTTCTCAACATCCGCCTCCACGAATTGTCCCAACGGTCGAACAGGGAATTCATTCGCTTTTGGAGGTGGTGCTACATCCAATTTCAATTCTTTYAACTTTTTCAACATACGTTCGAGTGCCTCAATTACGTAGTCGTCGTTGTAACCGAAACTCTTATGCAATTTCACTTGCAAATATTCAATAATTGAGTCCATATCTTTGAGACGCAACAATTCCTGTTTGTGCAAATATAGTATGGTGACGGCCATCGCAGTGACGACACGTTCACCCTCCAACAGATAAATATCCCACACGCGCAAAGCTAAACTATATGGTATCTGAAAATAGTAAAGTGGAAGTGTCGTAGTAAACAAGTATTCAATATAAATATATTTGTACGAAAAAGAGTAACGTAAAGAAAAAGAAAGTAAAACGCGTATGGTGACAAGCCAAATTATTTGGACAGTGTGTATATTGTTATWAATGATGTAATGTTTCTGCTTACTTTGGGGTGTTATTATTTTACTCATACTCCTATGGGCTATAAAATAAACTTTCTTATGTAAAATGTTACCAAATTTATTGTTAAAATAAACTGAAAAATGCATATGATTTTAAAATGAGCAATGCAAGAAAAGCACTAATACAGCTATAAAATCAGCCAGTGGAGTAATTAAGCACTTAATTCATAATACTTATGAAAGCCTTAATAAGAATATAATACTTTATTTAAAAAAAAAATTATCAAAATAAGATAAATGTTTATTCCGATTACGCTGAAGCTAGAATACCCTTCGCAAATAACAAAGTTTCTAACCAAGAACTTAAGTTTGATCTTTCAGATTGAATGGCATCTATGTATGTGCTGCAGTGGTCCAATTGAAAAATTTTTTTCAGAGATTATAGAGTCGACGTGAATAATTATTATATTTAGATATATCTTCTTCTTCTTAACTGGCGTGACATCGCTTACGCGATTATAGCCGAGTTAACAACAGCGCGCCAGTCGTTTACTCTTTTCACTACGTGGCGCCAATTGGATATTCCAAGCGGTATCGCTTCGCTTCTCCAACTGAGTAGGCAATTGAGAAGCAAAGTCCTCTCTCGACGAACAAAAACCAAAGTTGCTCCTAATTCTCGTTCTGTTATTTGGTGCAGAGGCTTGGACGATGACAACAACTGATGAGTCGACGTTGCGAGTTTTCGAGGGAAAAATTCTCCGAAAGATTTATGGTCCTTTGCGCGTTGACCACAGCGAAGATCGCATTCGATGAACGATGAGCTGAATGAGATATATGACGACATTGGCATAGTTCAGCGAATTAAAAGACAGCGGCTACGCTGGCTAGGTCCTGTTGTCCGAATGGACGAAAAACTCCAGCTCTGAAAGTATTTACATAAATTGGTCGTAAAAATATTCCGCTACAACAACAACAGCTATATGCTGATTCGATATCGGCGGTTTCGACAAATAAACAGCTTCGTAGGAAGAAGAGAGCATGTGCAAAATTTTTATTGGAAAACTATAGCTTATATAGTACAGACAGACTTCGGGCGGACATGGCCAAAAAAACTCAGCTCGTAACCCTGATTAAAAAATAAGAGATATTATTGCTTATTCTTTACACAATTTTTATATTTTCAAAACAAAAAAAAAAAAAAAACTCCATAGCAATGTTAATACAAAAATAATGAAGTAAGATATATTTAAAATGAAATGGAATATATTAAAATTTAGTTAAAACAATTTGTATATTTTCAAAATAATTTTTTTATATCTACATACCCGCTCCACGAAGATCACAAAGAACCATTTAATCGAGTAAAGAATGGCATCGACATTGTGTTTCATGAAATGTTGATGCAATTTACGCATCATCTTCGACAGTATCCGATCGTGATGTTCAAGGAAGCGCGTTAGTTTTGGGAAGCCCTCAATGAACAGACCGTGCATAGCATATTTACGATCTATAATTAATTGATTTAACGCCCAAAATGCCTCTTCCTCTTGCATAAAGAGCAATAGCACACCGGCCAGACATGCCATACCCTGACAATAACCCAATTCTGGATTATATATACTATACGCATTTAGCACATTGAAGAGGGAGCACTGTTTAACGCTATACCGTTGACGGTAAGCGACATTATCACGAAATTGTCGATTTACATCCGAATCGATTTGACGCACCTCGGTCGAGTATTTACGCGCCAATGCCAACATAGATGCGTACTTGTCTGGATTGGCGGCAATCAATTCGTCAACATTCAGCAATTTTTTCCATGCTGGCCAACGCATACGATCTGGTATACCTTTGAAGACACGTCGTCGCACTTTCTCATTATTGGGATTCCAATTGGCAAGCATTTTCATCCATTTCTTGTCGCGCTCTAATTCGATTTTGGTACGCTGTAGCTCCTGTGAGTCGCGGGTGTCGGGCAGGCGGGAATCGTGCATGAAGCCATATCTGTGCGTGTAAAGAAGAAAATACAGTCACTGTGAGAAAATATATACTTACAAACGTATAGTATGTGTGTCTGTATGCTTGTGGAAATGGATTTACTTTATAATAAGAAAACTTGTATATGTTGCAAAGTAACAGGTATTTATTTACCGGTATGAACTTATGTTTGTTACTATGTATACGCTGTTGTGCTATGTTTATGCTTAAAGGGTTCATTGTAAGAAAGTGTGGAATGTGGCACGGAAGCAAGATTGACGTGGTGGGAAGCGAAAGAAGTGCACGACAGTGAAACAAGCGTTTTGCATTAATTTGAAAAAAATAAAAATGCTCGTACTAGTAGTATAAGTTATGAACTGCTGTGGGCGAGMAGGCGTAATTTTTATACTCTTGTAACATATTGCTACAGAGTATAATAGTTTTGTTCACCTAGCGGTTATACGTATYACCTGAAACTAATCTATATAGATGACAATTTGTTTGTCCGTTCGTACAAACTATAATTTCAACAAAAATATAGATAATTTGAAGAAACTTAAAATGCGCGTTCTTGGCAAAAAAAAAAGTATGAGTTCGTAGATGGGCGTGATAAGGCCTATAAAGTGCCATAACTAATCACTAAATTAAGATATATAACTAATTTGGCACAAGGAATCGCAATAACAAGAGCCGTCTGAGGTAAAAAGTTTTGAAAAAGTATGCGTGACCCCGCTCCCTGAAAAGTTTAATGAACATCTCTCTTAAACCAATTAAGCGAAAACTTATCAGAACTCCTACCGACAGTGTGAAAATTGATAAAATCGGATGATAATCCCGCCCACTCCCCACTAAATTTGGTAATGGCAAACATTTTTATGTTACAGTGTGAAAATGGGCGAAATCGGACTGCGGTTACGCCTACTTCCCATTTTACACAATTTTTATTTCCATCTGATTCTTTTCAAATCCAAAGTACAAATCAATAGGCAATTAATATAATGGGATAAAACTTCACTATAATTCATTTTTACCGAAAATATTGGTCAATGTGTCAGATTTATAATTGATATTCAGAGAGAATCCTTTCCTGATAGTAGTATATCTGTGTGCCACAAATTGGTTGAATCGGAAGTTTTGCTTCGCTTAGCCCCATATGCCTACTATAAAGGTTTAAAMATTTCCGAGTGATTTTATACCGCATATATCGCCCAATATGTGAGCTATGATAATTAAATTGGGAGAGCGTGTTTTTCTTGCATATTTGCATAATAAAATCAGATGAAAACCTAGACCCCACATAAATAACAGGCCGTATGTACCAGAAGGTTCTTCGCTGGTTTAAATCTCTGCAAGCAGCAAGTGTATGAAATGTTCGGTTATATCCGATCTTAGCAAATCCTTACTATTTGAAATTTCCCCAAGTGGTTTTGGCTGTAACGTGAGRTAAAGGGTATAAGAACCAGCCACAGGCAAAACATAGGCAAATTGCCCGGAAATGAGTGCGGTGGCCAACTTATAATAACAATAGGAAATTATTGCTCGCTAGTAGCCCTAAGTAGAGACAATGGTTAGAAATGTGCGAATTGGTACTTGGAAGCTGTATACAAAAATTATGTACATATGGCTGTATATAAGAACCTATTTTTTTTTTTTGTTTATGGATTTTTTTTTTCATTGCATTTACAATTGAGAATGTGCCGGGTGAATAAATTTTATTTTGATTTATTAATGCATTTTTAATTACACTCTCATCAATTGCTCTGTGAAAGTGCTTTTAATACGACACTCACTCACACCACTACACATTATTGTGTGCATATTTTATATTCTTCTGAAATGGAGGTCGAGTACCGTCTTTCACCCACTTTTCAATGGGCGAAAAGGTCATCTCCTAAGTGTAATATAATTATGTGTGTACAATGTATGTGCAGTATATGCAGTCCGTTTTTTTTAGACAAAATACTAAAATACTTTTCTTCATTCATAAGTAACTGAAAATTATCGACAAAAGCACCCAACATGAATCATCCAACAAAATGAGAAGTAAATTCGTACATACATATAATATACATACTTATGTACATATATGTATAATTTAATAGGATATGCTTTTTCTCAGTGGCGTACGAATAGTATTTGTAAGTTGAGTATAAGTTGAGTATTTTTTGAACGATTCTATCTTTGTATATATGCGTAAATTTCACATATGTATGTACWTGTATAAAGATATTCATCAAGGCAAACCAATCAAAAATGTTAGCCTTTTTTGYTTCTACTATAGAAATGTATTCAATACATATGATTATTTTACACTTACTGCGGACTGCTGGATTTCTATAAATTCATAATATGTGAAAAAGATGTTAATAGAAATCACTTCAAAAAAACGAAATTTATTAATTGGAAAATGCCCAGTCTTTAATATCCATCATGGATAAGGCGGGTTCACAGAAATCTAACCAATTGTAAATAAAAAAATATGTAGCAATATGAATATATGTAATACAGTTGAGCTTCCCTAACTCGAATCACCATAATCCACAAAAAAAAATTCGAGTTATGGAAGGAAATTTTTATGAAAATTTACTTCTATTGCCAATTAAAGAGTTCAGGTTGTGGATATTCAATTATATTAATTAACTAGGAGGTCCGGCCCCGCTTTGYTGTGGTATAGATTTTATACTACTATTCATATAATAAAATACTTAATACAGTGAAAATTTTATTTACAAATAAAGGCGAAAACGTTTTTGTCAGTATAAGAATCCAAGTGATTTAGATTTTGTTTTGAATATGTTCMTAGAAATAAATTTCGTTGAAAAATATAACAAATTTAAGGCTGTTTTCTGAATGTCTGGATACCAGCTTYTCCGGCCAGTTAATAGAGTTGTCCGCTCAATAGATTTATAAACTTTATAAACATCAACAATGGCCATGGTTAATAGAGATGTCCGTTTGATAGGAAGAGGATTAATAGAGCTTTCATTGTATTCTTTATTTATGAATTGTTTTTACTATCCTATCTTCTAAGTTGGTTCAAACTGGACACAGTGTGCTAAATTTTACAAAAATCGGTTCAGTAATTTAAATTCAACTAAGTTATATTTTTATTATGTACTTCATATCAAGTGCTATTGGTAGCAGTAAAAATATTTGAAAAAACAAACAAATCATGAATATTACAATAACAAAGGTAAAGAATATATTTAAAAAATTCGATGGACAAAAAATTCTATTTTTTTCATAAAAAAAATATTTTTTTAAGGGAACTAATAGAAAAATTGGTAGTACATTGTAGTGTGTTCTTAATCGTCTCTAGGCATAGACCTAATTAGGCTACCGAGGGTGTTCTGTGGAACAGAATAAGAGACCTTTGTACCTTCTCTCAGTACTCTGCCTTATTTTTCGGTTTAAGGGGTGCAATATTTTCCTTAACAATTTCCGTAAGTTTTTGATGAGATTCAGATCTTCTGATTACTCTGGCCAAGCCGTAAAGCCAGCACCATGATCTGAAAACCATTTTTTGCTAGACCCGGAATTGGCAAAATGCAAGGCAAATTCCATCCAACATTTGGGAGTATGGCGGTCTATGTTTTCTTGTATCCAAAATATAGGTCCCGGAACACAATATGAGAAACAATTCTAAACCATTATATTGCCCCCATGGGGTTTGAAGGACCTAGTTGTGTATCCGACGCACATTTCTTTGTTTTTTGGACGTCGGACTTACGCGCAAATATCATTTCTTATCATATTAATTTTTTTATTTTGCCCTAATTAATGTGTCGTTTTGCAAACTGAATACTATTGCATCTATGCCGTTTTCTCAGAACTGGCACCTTTCGGGACCATGTGACAAAGCAATTTTTTTCCACAAGTCCTCTTCTTACTGTTCTTGAAGAGATTTTTGGACATAATTCTTATTGAATGGCTGCAAAGGCCTTAAACGGTACGCGCATCGGCAATCATGTAATATTTGAAATGACTTGTGCAGTCATTTTTTTGTGGTCGGCCTACTTTTTCAATATTTTTTCAGAAATTCTAAGGCATCAAACACAAATATTTGAGACATATTTCATACGTTTGCAATTTGCCTTTACGCGTGACCCATTCCTTGTAAATTTTGGACGCACAATCTTTCCTCTTCTAAACAATGTTTTGCTCGACCCTTTTTTTTTAAATAAATTCATAATTGATACAATTATTCATTCCACAGATCTAATTAAGTAAATATAACTATTTTTTATGCTGTTTAAATTCAACATTTCTCATTTATGAAACTATTTCGCTATTGATTCTATTATTTTGTCATTACGCACGGGGCACGCTATTTACACTTTTTAAATTACAGTTAACTGTAAAACTCGACAATGCTATTTGTTCCTCTTTTTTAAAAGTACATATTATTGCCTTTATTATTATGCAAAAAATTTACTACATAGATTAAAGATTTCAAAAAAATTATGGCATTGTTTCAAAGCAACATCTTTGATTCTATTTTATTATTTGTATATGCACATACATTCTTATATAAAAATCAAATATTAAAATTTACACTGTAGTGTTGTTGACATAAAAATAATATGGGTTGCAACTAAATGTACGAATAACCTTCGACACGTCTGTCTAAAAGATGTTGCGCCATTTCTCAAGCGGCAAATTCTCAATCGGTCCTTTGGCAACTTTAACAGGTAGCCTGTCCCCATACAAAAATTAATTTTTAACRGTACACGTGCAACACTTATTTTTGAAATTATATTGCTGTAGGCGTTTTTAGAGGATATCGATGAATTTTTGAACTATCCCACACATCTTGACAGCGATATAACGGTAACAAAAAATTTGTATCAGCTATGATACACGAACGTGTCACTACGAAGTTGAATTGCATCCGCTCAATGTACCATCAGTGATACATTTAAAAAACTTATTTCAAATCAACCAAAAATTTGTTCATATGTTAAGACGACTTGCTATATGAGTTTTTTTTAATAACGGTACTTATCGAGGACTGCGGACATATAAATTATGTTCATGTAGAAGTCTTCTCACTGTATGAATACCGCAGGCAAGGTTCAGTTCATTCTGAATCTCCATAACTGACATTCTAGGTCGAGTCTTGGCACATCTTACAACTATTGGTGTAAAATTCTCGGAAAGAATCCATATTGAGCCCCTTTTTTCGTCTTTTTTTTTTAAATAAATAATTGCATWGTGAGTTGTTGTGGCTTAACACCCTACAATTCTTTCCACTCCCTTGTAGGATTTACCGTTGTTTATTAGAGATTGAATCCATTTTCGTTTCTCTTCACTGCAGTGCTTCCCGCGGCCCACTAAAATRTGCAGTCATATTTTTTAGCATTGGATAATTAATAAAATAACAAGAAACTTACTTTTTTATTGTTAAAATAAAATATTTTTTAATAAAAATAATTTGTGTCCAATCAGCTCACCGTTCACTACTATTTTAATRCTCGCTCATAAAGACAGATATCACAATATAATTAGCTGTGAAAAAGTAACGGTAAGTGTTTCGCACTTATTGTTGTGTATAACAGGACCGTTACACTACAGAGAATATAACTAGAATAATAATGAACTTCCATACCATAAAAGAAACAAAATTTAAAACGAAACTATTTTTGTCAATAGCCGCTACTATATCAAACTATTTCAAATGTGCTTGCCATTCCATTCAAATATAATGTACAATAAAAGTACCTGTGTTCTATTGTATTTTATATTGATAATGAATTGTTCTCTTACGTATACTTACTTATCTGTAATATGGTAGAGCTCAAATGTAGGATTCTCCCAAGGGTCGACCACATTAGTGGGATCCAAACCCAACGAGTAACGATTGAAAATTGCTTCACGTTCATCTGCGGCACGTTGTAGTAACGCCTCTTGATCATCAAGCGCTGCTACGCTTTTGTTACTTGTATTATGGGTCATAAGCGTCACATTTGCCGCATCACCTCCAGCTGCCGCTGTTAAAACTGTTGTATCGCTACTTGTTGTTATGTGCGTAGTTGTTGAATGGTTCGTAGCTACGAGTGTGGAGGCAGGCAAGTTATTTGTATTATTTGCATTGTTATTACTTGTAATTGTAATATTGTTGATGTTGGCGCTGTTGTTGTGATTGTGACTATTGCTGTTACTGCTGATGATAGTGACACTATTGGTGTACACAGTTGAATTCATGGTTGCGAATTTGTTTTTATTTAATTCTTGTATATTTTACTAAACAAGAAGCGATTATGCGGGAGCTTACCGATAGCTCTTGGCACTGAACTCCGAGGKCTGCTATAAGTTAAGCAGTACACGTTGAAATGACTGTTTGTTGTTGTAGTATCAACTTCACTTTATTATTTGTTTTACAAAAAAAATGTATCTCTGCATATACTGCCAGAGCACGATTTATTAATATTTGCAAATAATGTTTTAAATGCATCTGCTGTTGATGCGGTTTTTTGATAGATTTTGGCCATTGATGTCATTGTTCAGCTAAAAGCCCAGCACATACCTTCATAAGAAATGGGCTGATAGTACCAGTCCGTTATTGCTTTACATTATATATTTTTAAACCATAAGACTTCACCAATATCAATATGAAATATGACGCCCCCGCTTTGTGTTTAATAACCTCCACTCTACTCTTTTATCAGATCAGTGTAAGCTTGAGAAAGCTATTGTAACTAATTAACTAATTTTCGTATATTCAATTAAGATTTACCTCTGTTATAAATAGTACACCGAAAGCAAACTTTTGAGATTTTAAATATTTAATTTCTTATCGCGATAACTTCCTCTGCATATTTTTTAATTATGATATTTTATCCGTGAACAATACAAGCTCACACACAAAAACACACGCACATACTCTTGGCCGTCATCAAAATTTCTCCTTTCTGCTGAACAGCGTTTTSTTGCTCAAAACTCTATTTATTCCTCAAAACACAAACTATTTTTTTTACTTATATTCACTTCGGTCACACAATTATGCCAATATTTCTATATATTTTGCTCATATATATCATCATATATATTTAATAATATTTACACAAGAATTCCAAGGAATCTTAAATTTTTATACTTTCCCCAGTGCAACACAATTGTAAAAACCATTCGGAACCAGAGAATTTTTGACAGCACTGACAGTTAAATATCCGAATGACAGTGGAAAGTACAAAAAGAAGATAAGAGGCAAAACAGCGACTGGAGCGAAAAAAATTGTAATTGGGCGAAAATATTTATGTTTAAAAAAATTTTTATGAGTACTGCTTTTGTAATATATAAAAAATTCTTCTACATGTTGAAAAAAATACRCGTGGGTCTTATTCCAACATTATTTATGTGAATTACCTAGGTAAATTTATTTCGTTTAATATATTTTTATCTGGCAACCTTTGTATGTACCTTTATATAAACTATGGGCAACCTTTGAGATTCAGCCGGCAAAAACTCATTGGCGTATATTAACAYTCCAAATAATAAACAACTTAGAATGAAGTAAAATAAAAGCTATTATTATGTATTTTTTATGTATTTTAAAATCAATATTTTTTCAGATTAAGTGTTGATGGTTTGCTGGTGTATTTTCCGTACGAATACATCTACCCGGAACAGTATGCGTACATGCTAGAGTTGAAACGCACATTGGATGCAAAGGGACATTGCCTGCTAGAGATGCCTTCGGGCACAGGCAAAACAGCCACATTATTGTCCTTAATTGTAGCATATATGGTAGAGCATCCAGATGTTATACGAAAATTAATTTATTGTTCGCGTACAGTACCGGAGATTGAAAAGGTCATCGCCGAGTTGCAAAATCTGATGTCATACTACCAAAAGAATGCCCCTGAACCACCTGCTTTACTTGGTCTGGTACTAAGTTCGCGGAAGAATATGTGCATACACCCGGAAGTTAGTAGAGAACGTGAGGGCAAAGCAGTCGATGGAAAGTGTTTTGGTCTGACGGCCAGTTATATTCGCGAGCATCATGAGATAGATCCTGAAAATAATCCAATATGTAAGTTTCTTACAACATCACCAATTGAATAATATGAAAAATATACAAAATTTATCTGTATGTATATTAGGCCAATACTATGAAGGCTTTACTTTGGAAGGTAAAGAGAGTATGATGCCACCTGGTATATATAGTATTGATGACCTCAAAGAATACGGACGCATGCGGAATTGGTGCCCCTACTTTTTGGCACGTTTTGCTATAACACATGCACAGATTGTTGTTTACAGCTATCACTACTTGTTGGATCCTAAAATAGCTGAAGTTGTCTCCAAAGAGATGACCAAACAGTGTTGCGTTGTTTTTGATGAAGCACATAATATTGATAATGTGTGCATCGATTCGATGAGCGTAAAAATCAATCGTCGTATWGTTGAACGTAGCACGAATGCATTAAATAATCTTCAAAAACTCGTACAAGAGTAAGTACATATTTGGATAATATACTAAATCATCACATTACACAATGCTTATATTTTAGTATGCGTGAGGATGATGCCAATAGACTCAATGATGAGTACCAACGTATGGTACAGGGATTGAAGGATGCACAGGTGCAACGTGAAACTGATATGGTGTTGGCTAATCCCGTATTACCTGCAGATGTATTGAAAGGTTTGCTTCAAATTCTGTTTACACTAAAAAATGATTGCATATTTTCACACTTAAATTACAGAGGTTGTGCCCGGTAATATACGTAATGCTGATCATTTTCTTAGTTTCCTGCGTCGTTTTGTAGAATATATAAAAACACGTCTACGCGTACATCATGTTGTGCAGGAATCACCTGCTGGTTTCCTTAAAGATGTGGCATCTAAAATTTGCATAGAACGTAAACCATTGCGCTTTTGTGCTGAGCGTCTGGCTAGCTTGTTGAGAACACTGGAAATTACCGATATGACAGAGTATGGCGCGTTGACATTGGTAATCAAAAAAACTAACTAATAAATACTCGTTAACTTACAATTATGTTTGCAGATTACACATTTCGCTACTTTAGTATCCACCTACACTAAGGGTTTCACAATCATTGTTGAACCTTTTGACGATAAAACACCCACCGTCATTAATCCCATACTACATTTCAGTTGCTTGGACTCTTCCATAGCTATGGCGCCGGTGTTCAAACGCTTTCAGACTGTGGTAATCACATCAGGCACACTTTCACCTATGGATATGTATCCCAAAATTTTGGATTTCGATCCTGTTATAATGAGTTCCTTTACAATGACGCTGGCACGTCCTTGCTTGCTACCCATGGTAAAATATTTGTAATTTATATTTAAAATTTATTGTGAGTGTTATTTCTTGTATTTATAGATTGTGTCTAAGGGTAATGATCAAGTTGCAATATCTTCAAAATTCGAAACACGTGAAGATACAGCAGTTATAAGAAATTACGGTCAATTGCTTGTAGAGACGGCGAAAACAGTACCTGATGGTATTGTCTGCTTTTTCACTTCCTATCTCTATCTTGAGTCTGTTGTTGCCTCGTGGTATGATCAAGGTATTGTGGACACTTTACTTCGTTATAAACTGTTATTTATTGAAACTCAGGATAATGCTGAGACTAGCTATGCGCTAATGAACTATGTCAAGGTAAGTACTAAATTAAAATTACAATACTTTTGCACAACGATAAAGATCAGAGGAATCTGTTCATAATACCTCCTATCAGTAGTCCCAAATTCTCCATTTCGAGCGCTACGACGCAAGTTTAATTTTTTTAGACTTTATTTTTTAGTAATTATTGTTGTATGGATGAAGATTTTTGTTTTTATTTCAAATTAATTATTGGCCATGAAACAAAATTTAATATGACCCAATTTATTTTTGGTCGACTTAAGCAGCATACCATCAAAATATTTAGTAAATTTAATTATACTTTGAAATACTTAAATTTTAAGATTATATCGSCAACTTCAGTTACTCAAAAGCTTCAAAGACGGTTTTTGTTATTTAGTTTTGCGTCATATAGTGGACTGAGGATGTACAGACTTGGCAGGACCAGGATCGGCTGTCTAGATAGTTGGTTCTAGGTAAACGGAACAGATGCGGATTTTTACCTTTCAAAGCATTTTCAATTCGGCAGCATTCCTCAAAATTTGTAGCAAATGTTTTTTAGCATTACAACAAGAATTAAAAATTCCAATTTAGATAATGTTTTACGATGTACAAAAACCATAACACTAATAAAATCACATCCATCACAATCCAAATATATATTACCCTGGTGCAACATATTGTACTAGGGTATGAAATCATATACACTCACATTACTTACATGCATTTTCTTCAACCGAAGGCCTGTGATTGCGGCCGAGGCGCCGTGTTGCTTGCCGTTGCGCGTGGCAAAGTCTCCGAGGGCGTTGATTTCGATCACCATTACGGACGCGCCGTACTCATGTTTGGCATACCCTATGTTTACACACAATCACGCATACTGAAGGCACGCCTCGACTATCTGCGCGATCAATTTCAGATACGTGAAAATGATTTTCTCACTTTCGATGCCATGCGACATGCGGCGCAGTGTGTGGGACGCGCTTTGCGTGGCAAAACCGACTATGGTATTATGATATTCGCCGATAAACGTTTCTCACGTCAAGATAAACGCAGTCGCTTGCCTAAATGGATACAGGAGCACTTGGTTGATAGTTTCTGTAATTTGAGCACTGAAGAGGCCATGCAATTAGCGCGCCGTTGGTTGCGGCGCATGGCGCAACCGTTCACGCGTGAAGATCAACTGGGCATATCATTGCTGACTTTGGAGCAATTGGAGAACGCTGAAAAGGAGAAACTGGAGCGGCAGGCGCAAGGCAAAGAAGGTGTAGGCGGAGAGGTGATGGAGCTGTGAAGGAGAAACGATGAAATAAAATAAATTTGAAAATAATAAAGTTTTTCTAACTTCAATTAAATTTTACCTTTGTGCAAAAAATTTGCGAAAAGCGGTAAGTTTGTGGATGCAATTCAATATTTTCTACTTGGCATAAAAAAGTGTAAATAAAAGRCTTTGAATATTCAATAAAAATTTAAAATCATTAACCGCTCTCAGACGACTTGCAAATTATCATAAAAATCTGGACCAGCCTGCTGGTCAGTTGCAATTGACTTCCGGTTAGCAGCGCCAAATAACTGGTTGCTTATTTTTAGGGTGTTTACTTTTATTTATTTGTTTTATTTTTATTTATTTTTTTCTTCTTTTTGACTTACAAGTTTAAATTTTTTTTGTTGTTTTGCATCCAGTTGACTGCTCACGCTGGCTTGCAGAGCTGTTTCGAAAACAAATTACAAACGGCAAATTAAGCACAGGCAAAAAGTGTTAATGGCATTGAACGTTAAATACAGCACCCAAAACCTTTAACTTTCCTTCCGTTCGATTTATATGACTAATTATATATTTAAAATTTTTCGCTACAGAATAATTAGTCATTGGCTTAGATAAAAAGTTCCTTTCCAATTTATTTGCTTTAAAAAGAAGCAACATCGTTTAATTTTTTAATGTTAAAATTTTCAAAGCTTGTTGAGTCCGAAACAAGTTGCAATATTTTTATTCGGTTTTAGTATTTCTAATGAAGATTTTTGCATCCCAGCATCTCAAATAATAGCAGTTGAAATGATATTTTTTGCTATACATTTACTGAACCCCGAACTAAGCAGGGATGCAAATATTGCATTAAAAAGACAATTAAGTTACAATATATTTTGCTTTTATTTTAGTTTGTGTTCCCGAAAGCCTCAGTCAAAAATTTAAAAATTGAGAAAGAATTTAATCTCAAAACTCAAACTAAAAATAAAATTTAATCTTTAACACCGGATCAAAAAAAAAAAATGTTAATCTTAAGTTTATAATTAAAACAAAACAAGAAAAAACGTTAACTTCGGTTGCACCGAAGCTAAATATCACCTGTCTCTTATACACATCTTATATGCTATTGTTAATAGATTTGAACAATTTCTTCGGAGATTACATTGTTGGCTCAGAAAATAATCTATACCAAATTTCGTGAATATATCTTGTCAAATGTGAAAGTTTTCCATACAAGAACTTGATTCCGATCGCTCAGTTTGTATGACAGCTATATGTTATAGTGGTACGATATCGGCAGT